GGGTCCCTCATGTCTGCCTCATCCTGGCAAAGCCAATTTACATATTTTTCCTTGCATTGTGGCCCTGCTAGCCATTGGGCAGAGAATGGAGCCCAGTGGTGATGAGATTTAGCCTCCGCTTAGCTTTACAGCTTTGGAAGCTAGTATCCTATGCCGAAGAATTGATGCTTTTGAATTATGGTGCTGGAGAAGACTCTTGAGAGTCCCATGGACTGCAAGAAGATCAAACGCATCCATTCTGAAGGAAATCAGCCCTGAGTGCTCACTGGAAGGACAGATTGTGAAGCTGAGGCTCCAGTACTTTGGCCACCTCATGAGAAGAGAAGACTCCCTGGAGAAGACACTGATGCTGGGAAAGATGGAGGGCACAAGGAGAAGGGGGCGACAGAGGACGAGATGGTTGGATAGTGTTTTCGAGGATACCAGCATGAGTTTGACCAAACTGCGGGAAGTAGTGGAGGACAGAGGTGCCTGGCGTGCTCTCGTCCATGGGGTCACGAAGAGTCGGACACGACTAAACGACTAAACAACAACAACAACAACAACATCCTACTCATGGTCTAAGCACCAGGGTGTAGCTGTAACCATGTAGCCATTTGCAAGCCTTTCAGATTATTATATACTGTTAAGCCCTTTAAGGCTGCAAAGGTGTCAGGAGAGGGCAAGTCCCACAGGGGACACAGGCCTTCCTTCTCCTCATGCATTGGAACAGTACAGTCAGAGGTGGCCTTTGACACTGCCAGTCTCCAAACCTTGCTGGAGGGAGATGGGGTCCAGTCTGAGTTCATAAGGCAGTCATGTGAGGACAAGCTTTGAACTAGTGACCATCCTGCGGTGCGGACTAAGAGCTGTTTGCAGGACAGAGAGGCTGGCAGGCAGCCAGCTAAAAGCAATCTGGGTCGACAAGAATGTGCAAGCGCAGCTCTGTGTCAAGGGCGACACAAAAGAGGGGTTTTGCAGACACAATTCCTCCTGCCGGCCCCTATTGTGGGAAAATTTCTAGCAGTTCTGCTTGCTCAAATGCTGGGGGATTTTATTTATTTATTTGTTTATTTTGCAAGCATGCAATAACCTTGCATGAAAGTTAGATGATGGCTAAACCATGTGAGCAGACCTGCCCAAGGCATTTATTTTTTTTACTTCTCTGATATCATATATCATGTATATAACCCCTTTTCCATAGTCCCCCTTCCCATCACAACTGGCACCTGGCTGAAAGGCAGGAAGACCTTTCCAGCTTCCCTCCTCTCTTAATCCTACTCAGATCTTTATTTTTAAGTCCTGGTTACCAGGCAACGGTAACATGGCACTGCCTTGGAAGAGTAAGAGGCGAAAAGGAAGTGGTTGTTCTGCAAAGTTCGAGAGAAGTCTCCATCCAAACACAAGCTGACACTGGAGAGGAATGGAAAGCAAAAGTGTTGTCTGAATCCAGGATCCCCAGAGCAGGTCATCTAATGTGCCAGCCTGGGGAATGACATGAGCACCCAGGCTGAGGGGTTCAAAGCAGGGCGGAAAAGCACACGGCAGAGTCATAACTTTTCATTATATGTGCCTCTTACTTTTAAATTCTCAATAGCCTCTTCCATGTGTGTTTTTCAAATCTCGACATTTGTGACTGCAGGAGGTTGGGCTATATGACCCTTGGGATCCCTCCCACACGACAATTCTGTGATTACTCACAAATGCATTACACTCCCCAACACTGCGGCTGTGTACACAGTGACTTGTTTGTCACACAAAAATGTAATTTTTTTACTCAATCCAGCATTGTTCATGCTCTTCGTCAGCATGCTGTTCTGCATCCAGGTTGAGTCTAGATCCTGCCATCTACAATGCTGTGTTTGGTGAGTTGATAGGCAATAAAAAATCCTCCCTTTGATGAGGCTATCCTTGCTTTTTCCATTTGCCCCAGGTGAATAGAGAAGGAAATGGGGGTTGTGATCTTGGTTTATGCTCACCCACAACATCATTGGGTGGAGGTAGAGACACCCCCCCCCCCATTGCCCAAACCACCTTCCTCTGTTTTCAAATGGATGTGCTGCAGGGTAATGCAGAATTGAGCTGAGTTCTTATATTAAAAATGAAAGCAGTTTCTCAGGAAGCAGTCTTCAGGGGCAAGAATAATGTGCAATATATCTGGATTGTGAACGAACTACGTGGGAAAAACAAGCACTCCGCCTCCATTGATTCTAGAAGGGAATGTTGTGTGAACACAGCATGTGTTGGGTTGTTGGCATCAATGCTAACAGCCAGCATGTGTTCAAATATTTAGATGGAAGAGTGAGAGATGTGCCCCAGACACACACACACATGCAAACCCAGAGGCCCAAGGAATGAAATTCTGCTCCATAGTCCTGTCTGGCAGGGGATGTGCTACATAAGGCCTTGTCAGCACACGGCACTGTTGCTCAGGGTCTTGCACTGGCTGCCAGTTTACTTCTGGGCAAAGTTCGTAGTGTTACTATTAATGTGTGTGTGATATATATATATATATATATATATCTAGTATATATATAGTATATTAGTATAATAGCTTGGGACCAGTTTACCTGTGAGATCGCCTCGCCCATGTACGCCCACCTGACAGCTTTGATTGGCGAGACTGGCTCTGTTACAAGTGTCACTTAAGACCCCTTCTGCATTTGTATGGAACCAATCTTTTAGTGCAGCAGCAGTAGCAGCTACCCTCTGGAACTCCCTGCCTCTTGACAGCAGTCAGGCTCCTTCACTGAACTCTTCTCAGCACTTGCTAAAACCTTCTTGGTCAGACAAACCTACCGAGACATTTGGAAAGTTCATACAGGTTTCGATCTGTCTACTGTTATGTCAACTTTTCAAATGTCTTGCATTTTTGCTGTTAATTCTTCATATTTTGTTAATTGATTTTCAGTGCATGGACACAGTTAAGTCTTCTTACTAACAATGTTTTTGTTTTTTTTACAGTCAAGCAGTATATAAATTTTCTGAAATAAATAAGTAAAAAACACCTTTCCTGTTTGCAGCCCTGTTTGTCAGGAGCTGGGCCATACCATGAGACCAAGGGAAGCAGACCCTCTCAGCTGGCAGATTATGGATGCCATGAGGGATGGCAGAAGGGAAGGGAGCAAGTCTGACCTAGTGCAAACAAGGGAACAGCATATCCTCCTAGCAGCCTTCACGGACATGGGGCGGGGGGTGACTGTGCTGGATGCTCTGCTGCAAGGGAGAATCATATGTGGCACCAAACACTTAGGCTGGTCCAGCTGCTTCTAAGTAGTGCAATAAGAGCATTAAAGGGTAAAGGGACCCCTGGCCATTAGGTCCAGTTGTGACCGACTCTGGGGTTGCGGCGCTCATCTCGCTTTATTGGCCAAGGGAGCCGGCATTTGTCCGCAGACAGCTTCTGGGTCATGTGGCCAGCATGACTAAGCCGCTTCTGGCGAACCAGAGCTGCACACGGAAATGCCGTTTACCTTCCCGCTGGAGTGGTACCTATTTATCTACTTGCACTTGACGTGCTTTCGAACTGCTAGGTTGGCAGGAGCAGGGACCGGGCAACGGGAGCTCACCCCATCGCGAGGATTCGAACTGTCAACCTTCTGATCAGCAAGTCCTAGGCTCTGTGGTTTAACCCACAGCGCCACCCACAATAAGAGCATTACAACCGTGCAAATAACGTTCTCTTCCTCCCTGACCACATATACTTTGAGTAAGTAATTTGTGGCTTTTTGTTAGGCTTGGTCCCCTGGAGAAGATTCTTCCTCGCCACAGGCGACCAGATGAGTAACGGTTTCAGGTCTCTCTAGGTTTTCTGCCTACTCTTCTTGCTGGAAGTAAGAGACTCACGTGCTTTTGTCTTCAAGCCACATGCCATCTGGGCTCCTTGGTTGTAATTAAACGTTTTTAGCAATAATGAACAGAGAAGATTTGCTGCAATGTGTAATTTACGCCGGGGCTTTCTGTCAGCCTGATGTCCCGATAAAGCTGCAGTTGTTTGTGACTCAGCCTGCAGCTCCCCCACCCACCCACCCTGCCCACTTCCCCTTCCTAGAAGTATATAAACCCCCTCAAGCATTGTCAAGAGGTGCGTTCTGACATTAAAGTTCTGGATTCTGGGAAAGGGGGCTTGGGCAATTTCTTAACATTGCTGTGTTGAATATTAGAGCTGGAAGGTGTGCGGAGGAGGGTGACCAAGATGATGAAGGGTCTGGAAACCAAGCCTTGGGAGGGAGCTGGGTATGGTTAGCCTGGGCTCATCAATCAGGTTTCTGTGGGTTGACTTCTGTTCCGATTCAGCGGTAAACAGTGGGTTTTCTCGGGGAAAGAGGCAGGACAAAGGGAGAACCTCTTCGACTTGTGCCTTGAAGTCATGGACCAATGGAAGAAATTGTGGGACAAAGGGAAGTGTGGATGACATACCGTATTTTTTGCTCTATAAGACTCACTTTTTCCCTCCTAAAAAGTAAGGGGAAATGTGTAAGCGTCTTATGGAGTGAATGCAGACTGCACAGCTATCCCAGAAGCCAGAACAGCAAGAGGGATTGCAGCTTTCACTGTGCAGCGATCCCTCTTGCTGTTCTGGCTTCTGAGATTCAGAATATTTTTTTTCTTGTTTTCCTCCTCCAAAAACTAGGTGCGTCTTGTGGTCTGGTGCGTCTTATAGAGCGAAAAATACGGTAATAGCCACCTTCAAATATCCGAAGGGCTGTGCCACATGGAAGACAGAACAAGTCTGGTTTTTTTTGCTGCTCCAGATGGTAGGATTCAAATGACATGGAAGGAGATTCCAACTAAACAAGGAAGAACTTTCTGAGGGCAAGAGCTGTTTGGCAGTTGGAGGGTGATGGACTCTCCTTTGCTGGAGGTTTTTAAACAGAGGTTGAATGGCCATCTGTCAGGGATTGTTCAACTGTGATTCCTGCATTGCAGACATTTGGAGTCCCTTCCAGCTCTGCACTTCTATGGTTCTAGGATTCTAGAGAGAGAGGATGCCAATGGCCTTTCCATCTTTGTTTGTGCAGGCCCCCAAAGTAGACTAGAACATCCAAAATGAGCAGCGAGACCATCCCCGAGGAGGTCTCCTCCCTCCCCACCCAAAGCCAGCATTACTTCGACCGGTTCGCAGAAGATGACCCTGAATACCTGCGCATCAGGAACATGGCTGCCGACCTGCGCCAAGACTTCAACCTGATGGAGCAGAAGAAAAGGGTCACCATGATTCTGCAAAGCCCTGTGAGTATCTCCCACCTCAATGGTGCAAGCCAGATTTGACAGGGCGGGGGGGACATTGTGCAGCAAGGCAAGAGGCATTCCCCTCAGGAACAGCAGGGCTCAGCTTGAGCCGGTGAGCATGTCTGACCTTGAGGCAGGGCCACATGACCTGCTCTGGGCTACAGGCAGGGCCAGATTTAGGTTTGATGAGGCCCTAAGCTACTGAAGGTAACGGGGCCCTTTATATGTCCAACTGTCCTTTGTCAACAACAAATTGTCACTCTTTTTTGTGTTGAATATATGCTATATGGTAATTTATGGACCTAATAGGATCTAAAGCCATTTGCACATAACAAAATATGCATTTTATCAAAGTAATTCTTTACATTCTTTTGTTCAAACTTTCCTCCTGTGCTTGATTCAGGACCTGTGCATATTTGGGTCTACTAGCTGATCTCCTGAGTGATTTGCAGTTGATCAATAAGGGTTTCTGACTCCTGGCAATAGGAAAGCCCCCCCCCCCTTTACCACACACACGGCTATGGAAACCAATAAATGTTACAATTCCACTTCTCATTTCCCCAAATTATGTGGGTACCTTAAAGATTAACAATGATCCCAGCGCTGTGAAGTTAATTAACAGCTGCAGTGGGATAGAAAGCCATTACTGTGATTGAATCCAGAGTCCTTCAGTGGTTCAGGGATGATTCATCCCATTGCACCATTTGAGGTGAAACAGGAAATGCTACGCTGCCCTGCCGCCAAAGCACCCCTTACCTAGCTGAGCAGAGGTTGGTTCTGGCGAGATCTTGTGGGACGTGGGTGAGATCTCACAAGATCTTGCCCAAAAAACAGTGGCACCACTTCTCATGGATGGGTCTGCCCTGCAGTGGTTTTACAATGAAGTCTCCCTTTATTGTAAGACAGGCCACTTTCGGACCAGCCAGAGAGTCTTCCTGGGCAGATGAAAGGGTCTCTCTCTGGTTCCTGAATATCCAAATGAATGAAGTGGTCATTCTTGAGCAAACGAATGTCAGAGTTTGAAGGGTACAGAGGAGGAGGAGGAGGAGGAGGACTCAGAGCTGCTGCAGCCTGGATCATTCAGGGTCTCTGTGGGTTTCCCCCACCCCAGTCTTTCAGGGAGGAGCTGGAGAGCCTCATCCAGGAGCAAATGAAGAAAGGAAACAACTCCAATATCTGGGCCCTCCGGCAGATTGCAGACTTCATGGCCAGCACTGCCCCTTCCGTCTTCCCACCTTCACCCTTGAGTAAGTTGGCATCCCTTGTATGAATGGCTCTGGTGCCAAAGCACCTTCTCCGTCTCCTGAGCCCCTTTCCTCCCCCCTCCCTCCTCTTGCCTAGAAATCTGCCTGTGCCTCACATCAACACAAGCCTCCTGGCCACCACACAGGTGTCATTCACACCGTTACATCTGAAGGAATGCCGTACCACTTTTTAAACACGTACGGCTTCCCCCAAAGAATATATGTGGGACTGAGCGTTGTGAAGAGACCCCTATTCCCCTCCCAGAACTACAAGGCCTAGAGCGGTCTAATAATCAGCCCCTCTCCACGGAGAACGGTAGCTCTGGGAGGGGAATAGGAAGGGGTCTCCTAAGAATGCTCAGCACCCTTAACCAACTACAGCTCCCAGAAGTTTTTTTGGGGAAGCTGTGACTGTTTAAAGTGGTGTCACAGTGGTTTAAATGCATGGTGTGAATGCGGCCCCAGTGACTCCAGCAAGGCCTGACTGTGCTCAGCCTTTTGCCCCACACTGCACCCTGGCCCGGCCGCCTCATGGGACGCCTCCCCCCCACACACACACACTTTTCAACCTTGTTTTGAATTTGGCGGACCCACGCATTGCTCTCAGCATTCACTTCTGCAGAACCCCCACCCACCTGACACGTGAGCCGCCAGCCCCAAAAGGGATCCAGCTCTTCGTTCTGCAGCTACCCCCACCCCAGCCACAATTCCTGACCGCCTTCCTCTCTCTCCATCCTGTCCCTTGAGATACTTGACGGCCAGTGAGGGAGGGTCTTTCTCCTGAAATGGTAGGAGGAAGTGATGGTTTGGCCTAGCCAAATGGTTGTAAGGTCACCTGATGGGCCAGAAGGTCAGGATTAAATCCTGCATTGTCTGCTCACGCCTGTTTCCAGCCAGGAACAGGTGCCTGTAACCAAAGCAGCAGGATTTACAGGTGAAACTCGGAAAATTAGAATATCGTGGGAAAGTTCATTTATTTCCGTAATTCAACTTAAAAGGTGAAACTAATATATGAGATAGACTCATGACATGCAAAGCGAGATATGTCAAGCCTCTATTTGTTACAATTGTGATGATCATGGCGTACAGCTGATGAAAACCCCAAATTAACAATCTCAGAAAATTAGAATATTAAATGAAATCAGCAAAACAAGTACTGCAAATAGAGCAATATTGGACCTCTGAGAAGTAGAAGCATGCATATGTACTCAGTACTTGGTTTGGGCCCCTTTTGCATCAGTTACTGCCTCAATGCGGTGTGGCATGGATGCCGTCAGCCTGTGGCACTGCTGAGGTGTTATGGAAGACCAGGAAGCTTCAATAGCAGCCTTCAGCTCTTTTGCATTGCTCGGTCTCATGTCTCTCATCTTTCTCTTGGCAATGCCCCATAGATTCTCTATGGGGTTCAGGTCAGGCGAGTTTGCTGCCATTCAAGCACAGCAATCCCATGGGCATTGAACCAGGTTTTGGTACTTTGGGCAGTGTGGGCAGGTGCCAAAGTCCTGCTGGAAAATGAAGTCAGCATCCCTATAAAGCTCGTCTGCGGAAGGAAGCATGAAGTGCTCCAAAATCTCCTGGTAGATGGCTGCGTTGACCCTGGACTTAATGAAGCACAGTGGACCAATACCAGCTGATGACATGGCTCCCCAAATCAACACAGACTGTGGAAACTTCACACTGGACTTCAAGCATCTGGCATTGTGTGCCTCCCCAGTCTTCCTCCAGACTCTGGGTCCTTGGTTTCCAAATGAGATGCAAAATCCATGCCACGCCACACCGAGGCAGTAATTTTCTAAGATTGTTAATTTGGGGTTTTCATCAGCTGTACGCCATGATCATCACAATTATAACAAATAAAGGCTTGACATATCTCACTTTGCATGTCATGTGTCTATCTCATATATTAGTTTCACCTTTTAAGTTGAATTACTGAAATAATGAACTTTCCCACGATATTCTAATTTTCCGAGTTTCACCTGCAACTCCCTGCCCGCCAGCTGACCAGTGGGGTGGGGTTGAGCCCTGCTCAGTTTGACCAGATTCCATGCCAACGCTTTCCTGATTCAGAAAGTCACTTGCGTCAAGTCCCCGGCTAAATTGAAGTGTTCCCCTCCATTTTAGCAGGGCATCTGATGCCAGCCCCTTCAAGACAGATAAAGGAAAGTCCTCCTTCACACAGCACAGAGTTAAACTATGGAACTCACTCCCACAGGAGGCAGTGATGGCCACCAACTTGCATGGCTTTGCAAGAGGCCAGGGCAAAGCCATATCACTATGAGCCACAAGGGCTCTGCTCTGCTTTCATGGGCAGAGGCAGCAATGGGAGAACAGGATGCTGGACTAGATGGGCCATTGGCCTGACCCAGCAGGCTCTTCATATGTTCTTCTGGATTCGTAATCGTTTGCTAAAGCCAGGAGGGGGTCTTCATTACAGCAGTACCTTAAATAGTGTGTTGAAGTCCTGATTTCAGAACTTCAAGGCACCTTGAATCTGGCGTCATTGTGACATCAAGCAATTTCCCACCCACCTGTCAAATTTGGTCTGCAAGGCCTATCTGGATAAGAATGTGTCCTGTGGCATCAAATAGGTTCCCCACCTCTGTTTCAAAATTAAATCACCCACAAGGAATGGAGGAAAGTGAGAGGCAATGTGCTTTTCCAGAGCCATGGGTGGAACATGCAAATGGACCGTCTCACCCAGCTCCAGTGATGCCTTGATTGTGTTTGTTTAACCAGCTGACCCCTCCTGTGCACTTTCTCTCCCACAGACCTCTCCACGGTGACCCCCATCAATGACCTCCAGGGCATTGACTCGACGTCCTTCGCCAAAGGGGAGAGGCTCATGCGCTGCAAAGTCAGCAGCGTCTACCGGCTGCTGGACCTCTATGGCTGGGCGCAGCTCAGCAGCACCTGTGTCACGGTGAGGGGTCCCTTCCCTGCCACCCACCACCCACTTTGCTCAGGGCCAGGAAACAAGGCGCCTTGAAATCTCCTTTTTTTTGGTCAATGCCCACTTTATCCCCTTTGGCTCAAGGCAACGGTGCGCCAGTTTGTTTCCAGGCCCAAGAAGGTCCTTGCAATGATATTGTTGTGTGTTTGGTGGGGTCAGTTTGGATGATGCCCTGAGTCCCTTCTAATTCTTGGGTTCCTGTACCCAGTGAGGGTACTAACAGGTGGTTCTAACAGGTGGTTGCCAAACAGGTGGTTGCCAAACTGGTCAGACAAGTTTCTTTTTAAGACAGTGACCTTAACTGTCCCAAAAGAATGAGCTAGGGTGTAAAAGCAACAGCTAAGTGAGGTGGCACTCCAGGCTAAGCCGCCTCTTTCCTCCACCCCCCCTCACCCAGCTCCTAGGTAAGAAAACAATAGCCAGAGTGTGTGTGAAAGGGCTGAGCTGGAAGCAGGCTAGAAGCTGGAGACACAGGGACCTGCTTGCTCTGTGCTGGATCCAAAGCCGTGACTAATAGAGAAGCAAGATCTGTTGGGGTGTCAATGCTGTGAGCCCCTCCATCTTATGCTCAGGTTGTAGATGTTTGTAAATGAAATCATACGTCCTAAAGACACCACAGTCTCTGCTGACCTTCATTCCAAGGAACGTAAGCGCCTGGAACCCCTGTAGTCAGTCTTTCAACACTCAAAGATTGTGGTGACGTGTAACAGTATTTAAAGCCCTGAGCGGCTTAGGCCCCAAATATCTGAAAGATGGTCTCCATCTCTGCTGACCCTCTTGGATGTTCCGCCCGGGAAATGGCAGCTCAGGAGAGGACTTCCCCTGTGGTAGCCACTAAACTGTGGACCTCCCTCCCCACAGAGGTGTTCTACCATCTTCATTGTCTAGGTTTCACCAGATACTGACACCCTTTGCAGTTAGGGTGTGTTTTGTTTTGTTTTGTTTTGTTTTGTTTTTTGTTTTGTGGGACCCACCTCCTTGGCATAATTTACACTGTTCTGAGCTGACTGGAACAGTTTTACTTGTTTTTATACCTGTAATTGTTTTATCTGTTTTTATAACGGTAAATTATATTGTCATAAGCCATCCTGGGATCTTATACAGTGGTGCCCCACAAGACGAACGCCTCGCAAGACGGAAAACCCGCTAGACGAAAGGGTTTTTCGTTTTGGAGGCGCTTCGCAAAACGAATTTCCCTATGGGCTTCCTTCGCAAGACGAAAGCCCATAGGGAAATCTCCGGGACAGCGGGGAAGCGCAGCGCGTCTTCCCCACTGTCCTCGGACCTCCTCCGAAGGCTGGCGGTGGGGCGGAGAGACCTTCTCCCTGCGCCAGCCTTCGGATGGCTGTCCTGAAGACTTGCGGTGGGAGGAGGGTTTTCCTTCCCACCGCCAACATTCAGAATGCTGTTCTGAATGTTGGCGGTGGGGAGGAAAAACCCTCCTCCCACCGCAAGCCCCGGGAACAGAGGAGAAGCGCTGCGCACCTTCCCCTCTATTCCCGTACCTGACCTGAAGGCTTGCGGTGGGGAGAAAAGCCCTTCTCCGCACCGCCAGCCTGGCAAGTGGTCTCCATAGGAACGCATTAATTGATTTTCAATGCATTCCTATGGGAAACCGTGCTTCGCAAGACGAAAAACTCGCAAGAAGAAAAAACTTGCGGAACGAATTAATTTTGTCTTGCGAGGCACCACTGTAGTAAGAAATGGCAGAAATAAACAGTGTCTTAAAGGTGGGTGAAGACTCAGGGGGAAATAACGAAATGAAGGGAAGAGCCTTCTGATCTTAATTTCCCTAGGGAAGAAGGGAGGCCACAGGAGCCCAAGGAAATGAAGACTTGAGCTCACCATTCTCTTCTTGTCTTCCTTTCACAGCTGAGAGTCAGCAAAGAACAGGACCACTTCCTGATTTGCCCTGTGGGCCTTTCCTGTCCTGAAGTTACAGCTTCTAGCCTGGTGAGCACACAAGATTCCTCTTCCTCTCTCCATTTCCACAACTGGCTAACTTGAGGGTTTGAGCATCTTCACACTTAAGGCATTATTAATAAATAAGTACAACACCTCCCTTGAGGGTCAGACAACACATCATAAGAGGCATGGGGCGGAGTCTTCGCCCCCAGTTCCCTTGGCATCATGGAGGGCAAATGACTTGGTCAGCTGATAGGAACTGGAGACTAAAATACCTGGAGGTTGGAGGAGGCAATGTAAGCCTGATAAAACCCAAGGAATCACCAACTGCAGAGAGGCTTGGAAGGGTGAGGTCTCTGTTTCATATTTTGCTGTCTGATGTGCAAAGGATTGCTGGGGCCGGGTGTGGGTTGAGAGGGGGTAAAATGAGAAAGTGCCGAATTCTGATAAAAGGGCACACTCTGGGTCTGAATTAAAATGGGAAGTACCTGTCACTCTTGTGACTGAAAATATTTCTTCTTAGAATGGGTAAGGTTAAGAATTGTCTGTCCTTGGGGGGGGAGGGGATTCCAGTCCTCTGTATTTCTGCAAAGTTACTGCCTTGGGCTTTCCTCTGCCCAGCCAGGTGGCACTCGCAGATCAATGACTCACACAAAGATACAGCAAGCAGAGCATATGACGGCAGAGACCTCTGCCGCATCTCTAGACCTGAGTGGAGGTCTGCAAGTCTAGAAGAGTAACATGCAGAGGTGGAAGAGTCAGCCTCCCACGAGGTTGAGAAGCTCCACTGTGTCTCTGCATGAGGTGCAATTGGATCACTCATTCACAGTGGGTATTATTGGAAGCTCACAAAACCAGAGCAGTGACTCATGCAGAGATGCAGCAGGCAGACTCCCTCATGAGAGGATTGTAGCTGGATTGCCATGAGCCTTGAATATCGTCAAAAATGTATTTATCATGGCACTTGTCAACCTATCTTGCCACCTGGTTTGGGAAAGACTGCGTCCCCTACCCCCTCTATCCCCAAAAGGAAGCTGCCATCCAGGCATCACCTTTAGGGTGCAATTCAGCACCCTAACGTCTCACCCATCTGTGCTTCCACCTTTTCTTTTGCACTGCAGGTAAAAGTGAACATCCTGGGAGAAGTGGTGGAGGCAGGCAGCACCAGCTTCCCAGTGGATACCCGTAGGTTCAGCCTGCACTCTGCCATCTATGCAGCCAGACCAGACGTGAGATGCATCATCCATCTGCACACGCCAGCCACTGCTGCAGTAAGGAACGCTGTCCATTCATCTTGCTGACAGAGCAACGAGAAACAGCAGACAGAGCCTCCTGCCCAGACATTTGGGCTGGCTCCGAGACTGATTTATAGAAGAGCATTAAGCTTGGAACAGCTTGGCCTCTCCATCCCTCCTTGTGCACTGCAGAGACTCTGGGAGACTCTGAATGGGAGAAGGTCTTAGGAATAGTCAGGGGGACCCCAGTTTCACAGTATCCAGGATGCCCAACACGGAACCCAACAGTGCTATCTGGAAGGCATCGTGTAAACCAGGGCATCTTTTGAGTTTATTCAAATAAGAACAGCAGAAGCGCCTGCTGGATCAGACCAAAGGCCCATCTAGGCCAGCATCTTGTCCTCGCAGGGGCCAACCAGACACCACTGGCAAACTAGCAAGCAGGACTCAAACTCAAGAGCACTCTCCCCTCCTGTGGTTTCCAGCGACTGCCTCCAACTGTGGAGGCAGAGCCCAGCCACCATGGCTCGTCGCCACCAATAGTCCTCTACTCCTCCATGAACTTGTCCCATCCTCTTTTAAAGCCCTCCAAGTCATCACTGCCTCCTGTGGGAGGGAGTTCCATAGTTTAACTATGCACTGGCTCTGAATTTTAGGGAGAATACTCGCCAGCAGTACAGAGGTGACAGGAGAAGAGAAATGAGATGTTTAGAGGAAACCACAAAGCAGCAAATGAGACAGGGAAGAGGAACAGAATCCCTGCACCTGGTTCTATGGCCAGGAATCAGGCAGGGTCCAGTCAAAGTCTAGGCTCAGTCAAGATCAGGACCTTGGACAGCTTCTGAGTCAGCTATGAGGGCTGTAGTCTCTGCGAAGAGCTATAAGCCTGCTGAAGAAGCCTTAAGTAGATTGGCTGGTAGATTCCACCTCCCTGAAGGAGCTGGATGGATATAGGACTCTTGCACTGTTATTGCGGTCACTGGGAAAACTGCAGGGGACTGTGTCCTCTGGCCAGGAGGTCCCCAAATAAAGCCCGGGTGTTTCTCCCTCTGAGAAAGCAGCCTGACTCCATTGCAAGATCCCCAGGTTGTGGCTCATATCGCCCAGAGGGGATGTTGGTGAAAGACGTTGGAAGGTGTTAAGCCAGGCATGCCCAAAGTCCGTTTCCATGGCCTAATTCGGCCCACTGGCCGGTTTATTTCCTGGGGTAAAATAAATAAATAAATAAATAAATAAAAGCTCAACAGCTTTGGGGTAAAATCGCAAAAAAGCTAAACAACCTGGTCGGCCCTCATGCATGTTCACTTCATCAAATCTGGCCCTCTTTGAAAAAAGTTTGGGCACCCCTGTGTTAAGGGAAGGGACAGAAAATGGCTAGATTCCAGGCTTGTGGATGGTTGGGAGGAGAGAGAAACTCATGGCTCCTATGCAACCACCAACAAGGCTCACAACAACTTCCTAAGCATCTGGGTGGGCTTGTCTAAACAAAAAAAATGTTTTAGCAGGCGCCCGAAAGAGTACAGTGAAGGCTGATGTCAATATGGAGGGAGTTCTAAAGTGTTGGTGTTGCCACACTAAAAGATGGCGTCCTTAGAGATGTGGAAGGGGTATTATGTGGCCCCTGTAACAGTGCCAGTTCCATTCAAAGCAGTCAAGCGGGCACAGGCGGGGTAAGGCCATCTCACATATAGAACAGGTCCCAAGTTGTTAAGGGCTTTATATGCTAATAGTCACACCTGGAACCTGGCCTGGTAGCAAATTGCCAAGCAGTGCAGATCTATGAACACAGGTGTTGTTTGCTGACAAGGCCTCGGTCCTGTCAGCAATCATGCTGCAGCATTGCACATTAACTGAAACTTCCGTATCAAGTACAAGGGAAGCCCCACATAGAGTGCATTGCAGTAATCCAGCCTTGAAGTAACCAATGAACTACTGTACCCAGGCTTTCCCAGTCCAGGAATGGCCACAACTGTTGAAGCAACTGCAGTTGGTAAAAGGCCCTTCAATGGAAAGACAAGGGATGGCTCCACCTGCTCATCTTTGCCTCTCTGTCTCTGCTCTCTCTTCCTTCCCAGGTGTCTGCCATGAAGCACGGCCTCTTGCCCATTTCCCATGATGCACTGCTGGCAGGGAACATGGTGTACTTTGACTTCAATGGGGAGATGGAGGAGGAAGCAGACAGAATCGAGCTGCAGAAGTGTCTAGGACCCACCTGCAAGGTGAGGGTTGAGAGGTAGCATTCAGGCTTCAGCGTCCTCTGGCACTGTGGCATGTCAAACAGCCCTTAGGGATTGTCCACACTGCTTGTTTTGTGCCCAGAAAGCCCAGGTACAAGAGGGTTTCTGCTTGCCCCATGCATTCCAGGCAGGGGTCCAAGTGGTTTTCTGTCTGTTTGCCTCACGACTTTCCCCAGGAAAACCTGCTCTTTAACACGGAACCAGAGGAAGCGTCAATTCACAGAAAACCTGACTGATGTTTGCTCTGATTCAATGGTAAAGTGCCAGTTTCCCTGGTGGGGGGACGGCGGGACATGTGGAACTGTGGAGGAGCTGGCATTTGGGATCTAGACCTCTGAAGTAGGGCTTAGCCAGACTTTTTGAAATCCTCGGGCAAGAGGCAGTGTGAAAAATTATACAGAATTGAGAAGCACTTATGGCTTTCCCCATTTTTACTGACCCTTTCTCCTTCCTTCTCTTGGCAGGTTCTAGTGTTGCGGAATCATGGTGTGGTGGCCTTGGGAGACACGGTGGAAGAAGCCTTCTACAAGATCTTCCATTTGCAGGCTGCCTGTGAAGTGCAGGTGAGCAGCAGAGCACACCCACCCACCCACCCACCCACCCACCCACACACTTCTTTTAGTCACCAGGCACGTTTTATCTAATCATATACGTAATTATAGAGTTAGAAGGGACTCAAAGGGTCATCTCCTCCAACTGCTTGACAGCATTAAAGGTAAAGGTAAAGGGACCCCTGACAGCATTAGAGACACCATTATTATTTCAATTTGTGTGCCGTAGATTCTGGCGTATTAGGTGACTGGGCGTATTAGACGACCCCCCCCCCCAAATTGGCAGCTTCAATTTGGGGGTTTGTCTTATAAGCCCAGTCACCTAATACACTGGGCAGCTCTGCACTGGGAGAAAGCCACCCGGCGCGGAGCAGAGCCTGCTGCTGCCGCCGCTGCTGCTTCCGAAGCAGCAGTGGGTGGGCTCCGCTCTGCGCCGCCCATACCCGGCATATAAGACGACCCCTGACTTTTTAACCTCTTTTCTGGGGTTAAGAAGTTGTCTTATACGCCAGAATTTACGGTATGTCCTTTCCCCATGTAAGCATGTCCAAAGCAGCCACAGTAACAACACAGGAGCAAAAATGCACATCAGGGCATCCCCACTCTAGTCAGTCTAATGCCAGTTCATTTAAGTTCACAAGGAGGCAACCAACCCAGATAATTCATTCTGAGAATACTCATGTGACAGTATTTAAAATCATTCTAAAGTAAGCAATATCCATTGATGTTGATAGTTTGTATCAGTTACTATTGATAGTATATATGTTAATGCATTTTGTTTGGCATCCACCTGTATTGGAAACAATGGAAGAGGACGCCTTTGGGGGTGAGGTCCAACTGTTGGAAGGTTGCAGCACCTGCTCTGACTCGAGAGACTGTTATGGGAGATACCTGTTTTGTTGCAGTTGGAGCAGATGAAGGCATCTGGTTGTGCCTTCACACACATGTCGCACATATGACACACACGCACTTACCCCTGTTAAATTAGCAATGGTTTATTTCCAATATTAGCCACATTTCAAGTAGACCACATGGAATTAGGGGACATAACTGATGTAGTTTCCTTCATTCTGGTGCACCTACTCTGAGTAGATCTTAGCTGGCTCCAACCAAGTAGCATCTTAGTAGCTTCAGCTGCAATAATTAAATTTTTAGGCACAGGGAAATGATGTTTTTCTCCTTCAGAAGTTGTGGTATGGAAGGAACATTGTGTCCCTAACATGCTGCAGAGTGAAATTTGGCAGAGTATGGTGGCTCCTGGCAGCTGTGAAGTCCCCAGTGAAAATCACGCTTCTGTTCTGAACTCTCTGGGATGCTTTAGGAAAGCCTGCTTTTCTCAAGCTCAGCTTCACATTTGCAGCTTGGGGATGGTAAGAGCCTTTGAAGATGGGAAAGTGCTGGTTGAACATTGTCCTTCCCCAGCCTGGTGCTCTCCAGGCATTTTGGACTACAAATCCCACCAGCCCCAACATTTCAGGGCCCTGTCACCTAACCTACCTCACAGGGTTGTTGTGATGATAAAATGAGGAGGGGGAGAACTATGTATGCCACTCTGAGCTCCTTCAGGGAAAGGTGGGGTATAAATGTAACAAATAAATTAGCAATTAAGCCAAGAGGGGCACTATTTCCACTGCAGGGAATGGGGTGAAGTTTAACCCTCCATGCTCCAGTCATGATCCTAAAGAAAATCCCTACCCCGCTCTATGCTGATGAAAGGGAAGAAAGGGAAAACTCCCCCTCCCTTCCTCCAAGCTGGTTCCTGCTAAGATCTGCAAAAAAATTAAAAAGTTGCACCCATTTTCTTGCTTTGCATAATTTAATAATAATAATAAAATTTTATTTATATCCAGCCCTACCCAGCCGAAGCCGGGCTCAGAGCAGTAAAATAATACAGCATTCTAAAATCAATTCATTATAAAATCAGTTCAAATCAAATTGATGGCAACCATTGGGCTAGAGTTCTGTGAAGAATTACCAAAGGAGGGGGTCAGGCTGTGCCTTGGCCAAAGGCCTGGTGGAACAGCTCTGTCTTGCAGGCCTGCAGAAAGATGTCAAGTCCCGCAGGGCCCTAGTCTCTTGTGACAGAGCGTTCCACCAGATCGGAGCCACAGCCGAAAAAGCCCTGGCTCTGGTTGAGGCCAGCCTAACCTCTCTGTGGCCCGGGACCTCCAAGGTGTTTTTGTTTGAAGACTGTAAGGTCCTCTGTGGGACATACCAGGAGAGGCGGTCCCGTAGGTACGAGGGTCCTAGGCCGTATAGGGCTTCAAAGGTTAAAACCAGCACCTTAAACCTGACCCTGTACTCCACCGGGAGCCAGTGCAGCTGGTATAGCACCGGGTGAATGTTATCCCGCAGCAAGGACCCCGTAAGGAGTCTCTCCACAGCATTCTGCACCTGCTGGAGTTTCTGGGTCAGTCTGAAGGGCAACCCCACATAGAGCGAGTTACAATAATCCAGTCTGGAGGTGACTGTCGCGTGGATCACAGTGGCTAGGTCAGGGCGAGAGAGGTAAGGAGCCAACTGCTTAGCTTGGCGGAGATGAAAAAATGCCGCCTTTGTTATAGCTGCAATCTGCGCCTCCACGGAAAGGGTGGTGTCAAAGATTACACCCAAACTCTTAATGGAAGGCAATGGCACTAATTGCGCCCCCGCAAGAGATGGGAGTTGCCCCCCCAATCCCATATCGTCCCTTCACAGCCACAGGACCTCTGTCTTCGAAGGATTTAACTTCAACCGGCTCCCATGAAACCATCCAGCCACAGCTTCTAAACATCTGATCAGTGTGTCTGGGGCCGAGTTAGGATAGCCGTCCATCAATAGATAGAGTTGAGTGTCACCAGCATACTGATGGCAGCCCAACCCAAAACTCCAGACAAGCTGGGCGAGGGGGCGCATAAAGATGTTGAAAAGCATCAGGGAGAGTATCGCACCTGATTTATTTAGTAATGTTTACTTTTTTGCATAGGCAGAAAGTTAAAGAATAGAACGTCAAGCTTCATAATCCATAAATGAATCAATTGTATTATTATTTACACAGGTGGGCTTCATCAGCTGTTTCCTCTTCTGGGGCTGTAAAAATGTTATCCCCCAAAGGCAACAGTCTTCCCCGGCCCCCTTGTCTGTCTTTCTGGCTCTGCCCACCCTTGTCAGGAACTAATAAGCCCTGCAACCCCAGGCAGGGTGGGGGTGGGGGGAGGCAGGTTGGACTTCCTGCAATTCCTGCCTTTGATACTCAGTGCCATTGTCTGCCCCTCTGAGCATCAGCCTACTTCTTCAGCTGGAAAAAACTAGGTCAGCCATGTGCCAAGGCCCAGCGCATGAGCGCCGTCTGCAGGTGGAAGGGTGGCAATGCATGGGCTTCTTCCACACTTCCTTGATGACCAAAGGATGCTACTGTCTTGCCCCGCTCCCCGCACCCTCGGGCTCCTGCTGGGGCTGCAACAAATTGGCTCCCAACTGGTTCTCCCCTGCACTTTATGATCTCTGAATTATTCTCCAGATATTCTCTCAGCGCTCAGCTATTTTGCTTGGACACCACATGTGGATAAATGGCCTCTCTTGTGGTTTGCACCTTTCCAGGTCTCAGCCTTGTCCAGTGCCGGCGGAGCAGAGAATCTGATAGTCCTGGAGCGAGAGAAGCACCGGCCCCATGACGTTGGCTCTGTCCGATGGGCCGGCAGCACCTTTGGACCCATGCAGAAGAGCCGGCTGGGAGAGCACGAGTTTGAGGCTCTGATGAGGATGCTCGACAACCTGGTTCGTTTGCAAGCGCAGATGCATAGCGCCCATTTTCCTGGACATGTGTCCCATCCTCCCTTTCTCTGTCTAGTGCAGGGGAGCCTCTTCCTACCTGAGGGATGCGTTTCCTTCTGGGGAACCTTCTGGGACCCACATGCCAGCGGTGGGTGGGGCCAGAGGCAAAAATGGGTGGAGCAATTGATGCAGATGTTACCTTGGAACAGTCTTCTTCTTTGGCGATCACTCAGAGCCGAGTAAGGTGGTCTTCCATAAACACGGTTTTAACAATGAGTCCGTAAGCAGGCTGGCTTTGACACCCCCACACTCCAGGGCAAAAGCACTCCCAGGAGAGGGCAAAGCAAAGAAGGCACAGCAGGGGGTGTGGTGGGGAGAAACCCAAGGGCCACATAGAGTGACTTGAGGGCCACTGAGGCTCCCCACCCTGGCTTTAGCAAACCTTTCCCCAACTTAATTCAATGAGTTCCTGGATGCCGTCTGCCGAAATTGTCTAACAATGGATGGTTACCATTTTATAACTTCAAGCTGAGCATTTGCAAGCTGCCAGATCCCATTAATTAACCCATAAATCAGAACTGCTATCAATTGACTCTTGGTAGATGTTACTGATAGGAAATGTGGTAATCTCTAAGATAGTAAAAATACAAACGTTTTTCATGCATGCCAACAGCCACCAGCACCAGAAACTGGGGTGGGCTTGCGGGACTGAAAATCCTGCTCTACATCAGCAGGTAGTTTCTGTGCAGAAGGCAAGTGGCCTCACAGCTTCAGCTTTTGCCTCTGCGTCAGCATGCAGGAGAGCCTTCAGGGAACCCTCTTTGTCCTTCCTAGGGCTACCGGACCGGCTACGCCTACCGCTATCCGTTTGTCCAGGAGAAAACCAAGCACAAGAGTGAGGTGGAGATCCCAGCCACGGTCACAGCCTTTGTGTTTGAGGAGGACGTAGCCCCCATCTCAACTCTCCGGCAGCATGCCCAGAAGCAGCAGAAGGAGAAGACCCGCTGGCTGAACACACCTAACACTTATCTGCGGGTGAATGTGGCCGAGGAAAGCCAAGGCAGCGCCAGCAGAACCAAAACCACCGTAAGGAGAACACCATTCACTGCCTCTTGTCCCTGCGAAATGCTCCACATAAGCGAAGTGGCCAGCATTTTCCATGCTGAAAGAAAGGCAGGGCCCTCTTCCCCCATCCAATTGGCTACAGCAGAAATTTAGGGGACAGTTGGTTGGTTGGTTGGTTGGTTGGTTGACATCTGTCTCAGGAGACAGTGGAGGAGTGCACCTTTGGAGAGTTACAGCGCCTACAGTTCCATAGTTTAACTGTGCTGGGTGAAAAAGGACTTTCTTTTCTCTGTTCTGAATTCAGCTTCAGTAATGTTATGACAGAAGGGTAAAAACTTGCTTTCTATCCATGCACTATTCTATAAACTTCTGTCATACTCACCTTTTCCCTACACTAAAATACTGCAACTTTTCTTCACAGGGGAGTCAATCAACCCCCTTGATAATTTTGGTTGCCCTTTTCTGAGTCCCATTATTTGTGTGACAAACCTCTGTCCTCTTGCGCTGAGGCTACTCCTCCAGGTCCGTCCATTCCCCCACCCCCAGTAGCAGCCACTGGCTGGTATAGGAGGATGAAACATATTCACCGTGGGGGAGAGTTTAAAGATTCGAAAAGCTGTTTTAATTCAGTCAGGCCATTTAACTCATTTCAAGAAAATTTCTGCCTTGGACTATTCAGAAAATCAGAGGACATACGTTTCTGTTTTCAGTGACAATCAGGAAATAGGTAATAAGAGTTGTGACCTTCAGTAGTGGCAGATTATACAGTTCATGAGGACTAGTCACATGACAGCAGGGCCCACACAGTGAGGTGAGCGAGAGAAGATGGAGGTCACAATGATCTGAAAAGCTCTTCTTGCTGAATTAGGAACCTGAATGTCTGTAGCCTTCCATATCTGGGCTCTTTCTCAGTGTGGATGCAAAAGCTGACTCATCAGTTTGAATTCAGAAGCCCCAAATCCCATCCTGCCTCTCAGCTTTGCAGATCATGTGCGAAGTTGGAAGGGACCCCAAAAATCATCCAGTGCCAGAATCACAGCTAAGGAACCCCTCTGTGCCCTTTCTCCACCCTTAAGAGACCTCCCTTTGCCCTTACAATTTGCCCTTGACTTTTCATGCTGCCCAGTGGATGAAAGCAGACGAGGTGGAGAAAACCAGCAGTGGAACACCGATCCGAATTGAAAACCCAAACCAATTTGTGCCTCTCTACACAGACCCACAAGAAGTTCTGGAAATGAGGAATAAGGTACAGCCGCCTCCTTCCCATTTGCTCTTTGGACACTTTCCATTTCTGTTGGTACCGCCTCCATTGCTATGGCACCCCCAAAATAATCCTGGGAATTGTGTATTGAGGAAGAATCCCCGCAGCCTCTCTCCCTAGCAGAAATACAATGGGGAGAGCTGGTGTAATGCAGTGTAGAGTCACAGAATTGTAGGGTTGGAAGTCAGCGAGTCCAAACCCCCTGCAATGCGCTGGACTAGGTCAGAACTCCAGCCAGGTATCCCATCAGTGCTGGTAACAGGGAGCCTGGTCCTGATCCACAGCCCCTGATGGCACCAAGAAACTTTGTGCGTTGCTTTCTCTTCTTCAGGGGCATTGCTTCAGTCCCACAGACCACAAACTTTCTCCTCTTTTCCTTCATTTCCACTTGCAGATTAGAGAACAAAACCGCCAGGACGTGAAATCAGCCGGACCCCAGTCCCAGTTGCTCGCCAGCGTGATAGCAGAGAAAAGCAGAAGCCCGGTACTTGTCATTCAGGGAGCCTCCCGGTGCAAAAACCTGCAGGGAATGTCCTGGAATAGAATCATAGCATCACTGAATTGTAAAGTTGGGAGGATCATCTAGCCGCCACCCCCCAATGGCTGTCGACTGGAGGGGGCTGGCTCCAGTGCCAGAAGCGTCACTGGGATGGAGACCCCAAATCAGGCGCCATTTCTCTACCACGTTGATCTCACCAGGCTGTTAGGAGGACAAGCATATTTTACTTATTTATTCTATAGACATCTGGGGGGCGGGGATTCAACGTCGCGCTAAGCAGATCACTCTGTTTGTGCAAGCATTCCTGCTTGCCTGATGCAACTATCTGTCCTCTTCACCACCACCACCTCCCTGCAGTTCTGGGGTGTCTCCGGACCCCCAAAGAGCCAATTGTGTGTGCATGGAGGAGGATAGCAGGAGGAAGTCCAGTTGCACTAGCGGAAGTCCTTCATGGGCTCCTTGGCTGAATCCCAGCGCTTAAGCTCATTTCAAATAATAGAGGGTTGGGGCTTTCCTGATCTCACTGGGAATTAAATTTCACCCTCAAGAATTTAGCACTGAAAAGTGTAGGAATGGATTTAGGCAGTAGGAGAGGATCCTTGCTCATGTTTATGAGATCAGCAGAGTACCATCCTTTGCAGCATTTAACTTGGAAGCTAAGACAAGGTTGATTTAACTTTATACAGACAAGAATCCAGGATGCTTTAAGGCAGATGGGATTTCCCCTGGTATTACTGCTTTTCTCTCCCTTAAAAATGACCATCACACACGTTGTTTTGTGAAGAAGTGAAAGTAGTATTTGCTTACCTAACCTAGGTCTTGAAGCAGCAGTTTACAGTAGCAAAATGAAGGCAGATTTATAACTACTAAGTTACAAAAGTACAAAATCTAAGTTCAAAATGTTGTCTGAGTAGTCAGCTTGGAGGCATGAGGGAAAGAGAGAGATGCTCAGGCAGGAAGGAAGGATGTAGTGTTACAGCTTCCTGCCAAGGCAAACAAAGGAAGAGATGTCACAGAGTTCTCTCTAGCAAATTTAACAGGAAAGCTCTGTGAACCTCAGCCTCTTCATGTGCTTATCTAACAAAATATGAGTTTGACTGTAATAATGTCCCACAAAAGGCCCCTCACTATTACTATTACTATTACTATTACTTTTACTATTACTATTATTTGCAAACAATATTGACATTTTTTTTATAAAAAAAACCAATTACAAACCATAAAGTGTTGTCTCCCAGGACAAATACATGTACAAATGTTAAGTCTTCTATTATCCATATGGCATCAAAACAGATTTGGAAAATCTTTCACATTCCAGGTTAAGCTCACATCCACAGGATGTACTTCAGTCTAGAGCATTGATAATTTCTCCATAGCGGCTGCTATGGCTGAGGGGGGAGGGAGATTACTGTACTGTTGTTAATAAACAATATAAATTGAGACCATACAGAGTCAAATGCAACTTTCCTGGCTGATCCTTTTATCACCCTCCAAGAGTGAGTTAAATGTTCCATAAATGCTATAATGATGGATGACATTGAAAGATATCAGGTCCAGAAATCTTTAAGCAACGGACGCTCCCACCACACATGGAAGGATGTGCCTTTAAGCATAAGGGCAAGGGAGTACAGTGAAGTCTGGAAAGGCATAGGGGCATCCAGTGCCACCTTTAAAGAGGCGACCTGCCATTTAGCCGAAATGTTTTGCAGTGGAGGGTTAGACCATCATCAATGTCCCACCTTTTTCATGGGCCAGGACTCAAGATGGCTTGCACAAATTAAAGCACAGGTAAAATAAAATAAAAATGCTGAAAACATTGTTAAAAAGTAATTAAACTCCAATAGAATTCAACCAATGTAAAAAGACAAATCTATTAAAATACAAATAATAAAAACAGGACGGTGCTATTAAAAGCCCTTCCCTTCCCTCTCGGTATAAACTGGTATTCACCTGCCGGCAGAAGGACCACGAGGAGGGAGCCAGTCTAGCTTCACTAGGAAGGGAGTTCCAAAGGTTGGGAGCAGCCACTGAGAAAGGGTGGGATCGAAGCATGATAGGATTGATCCGTGGGCCCAGAGCACCTTTCTGCTTTCCAGCCTCCATGGTTCTGCCTGCAGGCTCCCCCCCCCCCCCATTTACCTCATTCTTGCCTCCCAATGCAGTCTACAGAGAGTCACTTGGCAGACGGGGAAATGAAGGATATATCCCACAACGAGGTTCCTCCGGAGCCAGAGCCACCAAACCCTTTCAGTCAGCTGACAGACCAGGAGCTGGAGGAGTACAAGAAGGAAGTGGAAAGAAAGAAACTGGATCTCGATGGTAAATATCATATTCAGGAGCACAGGGGCTGGTTGCGGCTGAGAACTAGAAACTTGAGTGGGCTGAAAGACCATAGCGCTTGCTTTGGTATTAGCAACTAACGACACTTGATAAAATAGGGGCCACCTAAACACTCTGGGGAGATGAATGCTGTGTCATCAGCTGAGAGAGAAACAAGAAAGAAGCATTAGTTGGGAAGGATGGGATATGGATGGTTCCAAGGAATTTGTAGGTGGTGTGCTAGAGCCACAGGGGTGGGGGGAGAATTTTATGTTTTCCACATTTATTTTTTACCACGTGAATCGTTTATTTTCCTACAGAATCCCATCTCACAGACATAGCAGCACAGACTTGGAGATGACATCCAAACCAACCCCTCCCCGTCCTATAACAGGACTCTCCTGCTCACAGTCCAAAGTCCACTGCCTTGCTCTGACCCTGGAGAGAGAGAATTATGTATTATAATACCTATCCTATTATATAGTCATCACAGAGTGAAAAATAGTTCATTCCTAGGGCAGTGGCTTCCAACTCTTTTCAGGGCCACCGCTCCCTTGGTTCCATAAACGCATCCCCTAGTGGCAGGAAGTTCCACAGGACTGGACTGATGGCACTAAAGGCTCAGTTACTTGCTGTTGTCAAAGGAGTCTTACCAACGACAGGAACTATCAGTGCTCCTGCAGTGACTGAGCTGGGATCTAGGGCCTCAGGATCCCTGTGATACCCTGGACCTAAGATGTTCAGGGCTTTGTAAGTTAACGCAAGGACCTCAAACCCAGCTCAGTAGTAGGTGAGCCGCCTGAAATGTTGCCTTGGCTGCACAGAATTTTGGACCCCTGTGCTGATGACCACAGCCCCCAGCAAGTTGTGACGCCTCCCTTTGAACTCCCTGTCCTGGGGATTGAAAGACCTCCTTCTCCTTGCAAAGGAGCAAGGAGGACACCTGGCAGTCTCCTTCAGCTCTGTGTCCAAAACAGTTTAGAAACAGTGAGATGGGGGGATTTGCTCCATCCTTGTGGACATCCAGGCATCCTGAGACATGCTTTCTTCCATTGTATTCCCATCTCCTCCCAGGTGAGAAAGACACAAGCCTGGAGGAAGAGGTGACGGCCCCTTTGGAGTCGACTGCAGATCCCACAGTCCAGAGCCCAGCCAAGCCTCCGTTAAAAAGCCCGCCCAAGACTTCAGAAGGTAAGCGAAGCCTCTGCAGCGCTCTGAGAATCAAGCACCTGCTTCTTCACACCATGAAAGGTTAGGCTTTGGAACTCACAGCAACAAGATGAGCTGGTGGCCACTGGATTGGATGCTTTTAATAGGATTGGAGAAATGGGGGTGGCTAAAAACGCTGAAAGGCAGGAGCAACCAGGCTAGCTCATCCCACAAAAACCACTTAGAACAGTACCTATACCTTTTGCTTCATACCTGAGTCTAGGATATATGAGACTTCTTTTTTGTTTCTTTATAATGGAATTTCAGCCGGGGGTCCCTGCTAACTAGGCCTGGTACATCTGTTTCCTCTGCACTAATTTCTGGCAAATGCTTGGGTGAACAAGAGAGTCTTAAAAGATTCCCAGATGATGTCTTATCGAGGGGTGGGGTGCAACTCCTGAAGGCTGGGCGGCACAGCGGAAAAGGTCCACCCCCTGGTGCCTGTAAGATAACAAGATGTGCAGCAGCTAGCTAATTCTAGCAGCTACTGGCAGGGGGAGAATTAAGGCCTGCCTTCCCTCCTGGCCCTGCTCTGGTGGACCCTCCTTCCTTGGGTGGCCACCTGCCAGGGACTCTTTCACTGTAATTCCTGCATGGCAGGGGGTTGGACTAGATGACCCCTGGGGAACCTTCCACTCTACAATTCTGTGATGCTGTGAAATCTTACCCTCCCCAGGATGTGATGCCCCGCCCTATTCAAGGGTGTAGTGGAAGTGTGGCCCTGATCTGAGAGGGGCATGGTTTCTTGTGGCTATGGGGGGGTGTAGTGTTGTTGCTTCCCACCTCCCCTGCATTGTCTCATTTGTGCCTCGTTGTGTTTGGCGTGCTTGTCTCCACACTGTCTCCTTTCTCTTTCCATGTGTTGCTCTCATCAAAGGAGTTCCCTCTGATTCTGAATACTTGTCACTTTAGTAAGTATAGAGAGGCTGCTTTCTCAATTTTCAGCTGCTCCCGGGGGGAGGGACGGGGTCCTCAATCCAGCCTCCATTTCAGCATCTCAGGGCTGAGCAACCCTTTCATTTTTGGAGCCGCAAACGTGTGTAAAACATGGACTCAGTTGCATGATGCCAAGAGGGCCCACAGGGCAGTGGCAGGCCATCCGCTTTGAAAGCAGAGTTTCAGGATCCGTCCCCAAAAGCTCCAGTTAAACAGGGTCTTGGCTAAGCATGGTTAGGAAAAGCCTCCGCCAGAATCTCTGTGTAGAGGGGGGCAGCCAAACTGCTGGCTGGGGTTCCCTTTGGATTTCTTTTAACCCATTTCAAAACAGCTGCTCTGGTTGCCAGTTCGTTCCTGGGCCCCATTTAAGCTGCTTACATTAGTGTTTAAAGCCCTAAATGTCTCAGACCCCAAATAACTGAAAGATGACTACCTTCCCTACAGTCCCCCTTGGGTGCTATGATAGGCAGAGGGGGGGCTTCCTGGTGGCTTGTCTGCCCTCGGAGGCTTGGTGGCCCAGGAGGAGAGGGCTTTCTTTGTGGTGGCCCCCAGAGGTGTGTCTGGCACCATCATTTAACAGTTGCCCGAGAATGTTGAAGATGCACCTCTTTATTCTGGCTTCTGACACTTGAGGTGTAAGTTTTTAGGACCCACCATTGCTTTGTGATTGTACGTTGTTTGGAACAGGTTTCAATGTTGTAACCCACCCTGGGACCTTAGAGTGAGCGATGGGTAAATAATAATAACAAGAAAATAATAATAATAATAATAATAATAATAATAATAATAATAATAATAATAATAAATTTTATTTATATCCCACCCTCCCCAGCCGAAGCCGGGCTCAGGGCGGCTAACAACAATAAAACAGTACAAAAGTATATAGCAGGGATGGGGGACCTGTGGCAACCATCGTGGTAGTTTGGCCTCTTTTATTGCATCCTGATGAATGTGACGGGAGGATTTGAATTGCCTCTTGAGCAGCCTCTCTGAATTGCCCCCGTCTCCATTTCTGATTCCACTCAGGGGAAAGGAAGGAAGCTTTAATAGAGGACTGCAGCCTACATTTGTAATAAATTTGTACTGAACAGAACTGAATGTTGGACTTTGTTGCAGCTCTCATCATTGTTAAGACTTTTCCTAATGGGTTGATGGAGTAGGCCCACCCTGGAGCAGTATAGAAACCTCTCTATGGTTGGGGGGGGGCTCCCCTACATCATATGCGGTCTGCTGATTAGCAAAGTTTTCTTTGCAATACATTGTGTTTTTGTGGCATATTGCAAAAATATTTAGTGTAACATGTAGTACAGAATATGTACAAGAACTGGTGTAGCATAAGAGACCCAGGAACAGACCAGGAAGCCCCTTCTTCTCCACCCTCATCGTTCAGCCCGGACACTGAGGTTCAGCTCCGAGGGCCTTCTGGCGGTTCCCTCACTGTGAGAAGCGAAGTTACAGGAAACCAGGTAGTGGTGCTCGCCCTGTGGAACGCCCTCCCATCAGGTGTCAAAGAAATAAACAACTATATGGCAGCCCTGTTTAGGGAAGTTTGTAATGACTGATGTATTTTTAATCTTTTGCTGGAAGCTGCCCAGAGTGGCTGGGGAAACCCAGCCAGATGGACGGGGTAGAAATATTAGTATTAGTATTAGTAGTATTACTCGGGACGCGGGTGGCGCTGTGGGTAAAACCTCAGCGCCTAGGTCTTGCCGATCGCGTGGTTGGCGGTTCGAATCCCCGCGGCGGGGTGCGCTCCCGTTGCTCAGTCCCAGCGCCTGCCAACCTAGCAGTTCGAAAGCACCTCCGGGTGCAAGTAGATAAATAGGGACCGCTTACCAGCGGGAAGGTAAACGGCGTTCTGTGTGCTGCGCTGGCTCGCCAGATGCAGCTTGTCACGCTGGCCACGTGACCCGGAAGTGTCTGCGGACAGCGCTGGCTCCCGGCCTATAGAGTGAGATGAGCGCACAACCCTAGAGTCTGGCAAGACTGGCCCGTACAGGCAGGGGTACCTTTACCTTTATTAGTAGTATTATATTCAAATCTCACATGCGCTGGGAACTTTCTAGGTTCCTTTAGTGCTTGCCACCATCCCTAAGCCTGAACCCCATGCCATCTGCAATATACCTAACCCCTACCTGTGGGGTTGTTGTACGGGTTATAGATAATGTGCACCTATAGATTGCACTTGGAACACTTTAAAGCTCTGTTTAACACCAATATGCTATTAAACATCTGTAGGAAAGAAGTAGAGGGCTTAATCTGAAGAGGCTGTATGGGCTGCACGAAGGCCAATAAGCTGAGGAAGGATCTTGGTAAGGTGGAAGCTGTGGGGGTTCCTGGATCTGAGAAATCCCTAGATGGCCTGTTCCGAACCAGGCAGCCTTCCCCTGAAAGGAACAGATGTGCAGCTTGGACCGCAGCTCAGTGGGCAAGCGGAAGATCCCAGTTCAGTCCTCAATGGCAGCTCCTGATAGGGCTGGGAGAGACTCCTGCTTGAAATCCTGGACAGCTGCTGCCAGTCAGTGCAGGCAACAGTGAGCTTGATGGGCCAGCAGTTTGACTCAGTATAAGGCACGTTCCTGTCTTCCTCTGTTCCTAGATTCCAAACTGCCGACAGGGACTCACGCGGCCTCCGCGGCTAGGAGTCCCTATGCCCAGCCCTAGCAGGCCCTCCTACCGCCCTGTGGAGACTAGCCTACCCACGGTAGTTCATGCTTTGCTAACCTGCTGCTTGGATTACTGCTGTGCGCTCCCTCGAAAAGTGGGGCAGAATCCTGCTACGCGTCCAGTAGGGTCTGATGACACTGATCATGAAAGCATTGCAGTGTCTACAGCAGGACCAGTTCAAGATGGCGGCACTTGGAGCCAGCTGCTTGAAGAAGCGCCTCTTCTCTCTGCAGCCCCGGCCAGCCCCAGGCTTTTGCAGTCTGCAGGAGAGGCTCCAAGTGTGGAACTCTCTTCCTCTTGAGACCAGCTTGTCCCTCCCCATCCCAATGTTCATTCGGGCATCCGCTCAAGGGCTCTGCTCAGGCAGGCCTTTGGAGCAGGCACCAACATGATGGTTCTTGCTGTACAAAGTATTTCAGTAGTTATTTATGTGCTCATTACATTTACAGCCCACCTTTTCTTCCAAGCAGCTCAAGGTGGTTCTCCCTCTCCCCGTTTCATACTCACAACAACCCTGTGGGGTAGGTTAGGCTGAGGGGGTAGTGATTGGCCCAGCTTCATGGCTAAGCTGGGATTCGAACCCGGTTCTCCCAGGTCAGATTCCAACACTAACCACTGCACCACTGCTGGCTCTCCAAAGGAACGACAATCATTATGCATTGTAGTTCTAACCTTTGCTAATGTTACAGTTTTATTGTTAGCCATTCTTAACAATAAAAAAGTTATTTATTTTAATACGGTAGTACAGTGGTGCCCTGCAAGACGAATGCCTCGCAAGACAGAAAACCCGCAAGACGAAAGGGTTTTCCGTTGTGGAGGCGCTTCGCAAGACGAATTTCCCTATGGGCTTGCTTCGCAAGACGAAAACGTCTGGCGAGTCTCGCCATTTCCCCCCCGCTTTCCCCCCCCCCTTTTTCAAAGCCGCTAAGCCACTAATAGCCTTTTAGCAGCTTAGCCGGTAATCCTTTAATAGCCGCTAAGCCGCTAAATCGCTAATAGCGCTAATCCTCTTAGCCGCTAATGGGGTTGCTTCGCAAGACGAAAAAACCGCTAGACGAAGAGAATCGCGGAACGGATTCTTTTCGTCTTGCGAGGCACCACTGTAATATAATAATAATAATAATAATAATAATAATAATAATAATAATAATTGCATTTTGGTGAGGAAGCAATATTAGTTACTGGTGTTTGTTTTCTTGAATGTACCTTATTGATTCTCTCCATCCCCTCACTCCCAATCGTATTGTCACCCATCTGTTCTAGCCCTTTATTATTGTTTCACACACACCCCTGTGCCCCTTTCTGCAGAACAACCCCGTGAGGTAGATCAGGATGAGAGACAGGGACTGGCCCCAAGGTCACCCAGCAGTGGCGTAGCGGGGGGGTGCAGGGGGGGGCCGCCGGCGCAACATCTGGGGGTTAGGGTTAGGGGGCGCAAATTACTTGCCTTGCCCCTGGGTGCTGACAACCCATGCTACGCCACTGTCACCCAGTAAGCCTCCTGGCTGAGCAGGTCTCTCCCGTCTATGTCTTGCTCTTGAACTACTTGTTTTGCAGCACTCCTGGTGCAATCCAAAGACAACATCGGTTGAATCTTCAGCTCTCATTTCTTGTTTCTTTTGGGAAGGTGGGAAGAAGGCGGGCGGTGGCCAGGCGCCTGCCGAAGCTGACCAGAAGGCGGACGACCCAGGCACGGTGGTGGTGAACGGCAAGGACGATGATCAAAACGTAGAGGACCTGCTCAGCAAAGGAATGAGCCAGATGACCACCAACGCAGACACCGACGTCCCTAAGGACAAAACAGAGACGGTCACCAGTGGACCTGTGTCACCCGAGGGCTCCCCATCCAAGTCTCCTTCAAAGAAGAAAAAGAAATTCCGGGCCCCGTCCTTTCTGAAAAAGAGCAAAAAGAAAGAGAAGACAGAGTCTTGAGGTCCTCTCCTGGATGCTTCTCCCTGCTCTTCTTCCTCCTCCTCCTCTTCTTCTTCCTCCTCCTTTCTCCTCCTTTTCTTCTTTCTCTTGCCTTCCGCTACTCCCTCTGCTCTTGCCACCACAGGGAAAATTCCTCCTTACAGTGGCATTTCTTTCGACGGCGAAAAAGAGAGGCTGAGGACCCTGGAATGTTTTTCCCCCCCATGGGATTCGCTTGGGAAGGTGAGGAAATGCTTTCTGAGGATTTGTGAGACAACCCTCCTCCCGGCCACAAATCCAAGGATATAACCAAGATAGTCTGTCCTTTTAAATGCTCCCTTTGGGACGGAGAGGGTGCTTGCCACTGAATGCCAGTCACTTCACAGCGCAAACGTCCCAAGCCACGTCAGGCCCATGCGTGGAAGTTTCCTGCTTTCTAGACTGCTTTCTAGTGCACAGCGGGTCACTTTCAGAAATACTGGTGTGCACTGGGGAGAGTGCTGATCCCTTCCTGAAGCAGGGAACCTGCGGAAAGGGAGGTTGGACTGGTTTTTTGGATGCTTGATCCAATTGCCGCTATTAATCTCTGACGGAAATTGCTCTGGACTTTAAAGCAGACAAGCTGTTTCGGCTGCTGAGAAGCCCTTGGAGAAGGGTATGGGATTTCTTGGGCAAGGATCTGACCCAGGAGCCAGCTGAGCACCAGGGACCTTCTTTCCGTACGAACGAGTGACACTAAATGCCTTTGGGGAAGGTGGGTGTTTTAATATAAGGACTGGCTCCCCCTGCGCCAGCGGATTGCCCTGCAGGTGGAACAAGGTTGGGCAGGTGCCATTAGGCTGGCAAAGGGGAAAGAACAGAGCTGACCCCTGGGGCACAATCCAATAAGAAGCTCTTCCTCATTGGAAGTCGCTGTGAGGTGTACAAGAGGATGGTGAGTCTCTTGCACATCTCATATTCTTTTTGATGGGGCTTGTGCAGGAGAACTTCTCAATGTACTGGGGGTACCCTGTGGATTTTCTGCTCCAGGCTTCAAAATGAGCAGGGGGCTGGTCCCCGGTTCACAATCCAGGCTAACAAATGGTGGAATGATTTCCCTTGTTTTGAGGACTGTCTACTGGTTCTGGATTGAAACCCGCTTAGATTTATGGGCTGCAATATCCCCACGCACGCACACGTCTCCTTGGGGGTAGAGCATGTGCTTTGCATGCACATGATCTAGGGATCAATTTGAGGTGTCTCGGGTGAGAAAAGGACACCAGGTCACAGGACCAAAGGAGGTCTCTCACCTGATGACGCCTCTGAGATCTGTTGCCAGTTGGAGTGGCTGAAGCTTGGTGAGGTGGATCAGGGACCTGGCTTGATCTAAGGGAGCTTCTTGTCCTTAGATGGTCAGCTGTGGCCACCCAGCAGCTCCATCAGATCTAGAGAGGCCTCTCTGTTCCAGCTGCTGGTAAAGTGCTGATGCCCTAGTGGGAAATAAATCAGATTCTCCCAAGTTCCACCTGCACTACATTAAGGAAAATATGTATTACGATAACTCCATTTCAGCCACGTAAGTGCTAGTTTGGTTGTCTGGACTATCAAGACAGCCACAAACACTGCCGATAATGTCACTTGTGTAATCACAACGGATAATACGATGGAAAGCTTACAAAAATACTATTTTCTCACTTACTGCACTATTAAGGGATTTTATCACGCTTGAGGTGTTTTCACAAGTGATTGTAAAATTTGCTGCAGCTGTAAATTGCTTTTGAGAGCCACTTGGATAGGGGTGCAGTTTCTGCACAGAAATGGCCTGCCTCTGCTCTCTCTACTGCATTCACATTTAGAAGTGATCTGAGCATCACTCGCGATGCTTAGCTGGGACACAGATACAGATTTTCAACGGAAGTTAATTAGAGCTCTTAGTGTTTTCCTTTGTTTGGCTGGATCCGGGGGGGGGGGGCAGTGGCTGGGGACCCACCAAAGAGGTCTGCTGCAATCTTTGTTCCTCCCAGGCAGGGTTGGGGACAGCCAGGTGCAGTCTGGCTACAGTTTCCATCATTCCTGCCCATTGGCCATGCTGGTTGGGGCTGATGGGAGTTGTGGCCCAAGACGTCTGGATGCTCCTGCCCTTAAATTCTTCAAGCCATGCTAAGCATTACAGGCACATCATGGCAGTTTCACCTCATCTGAAAATAAAGCTGCTGCTTCTGGTGGAGTGATCAGGACTGAGAAAATTGGGGGGGGGGGCTGAGCAGTGCTTAACATTTTCCCTGCCAGTCAGTTAGTTCCCTGTTCCAATCCAAGCCTCCACTCTGGTAGTTGAACATTGTTCTTTGCTCTGCATTTTGAGACTCAGCAAGAAGAAAGAAACATTTGGGGGGGTGATTTAAGAAAGGTGAAAACGTTAGGTGGATATGTGAAGCCACTTCTCTTATTGCCCCACCAGAAGTAGGTTTTTCTAAAGTTAAGAAAAGAACAGTTAGCATTAGGTTACACACAAGTGTGATCCTTCACTAGCACTGGGGCCAAACTAAGCACGACACCATTGCACAATTAGCAAAAGTGTGAATGGTGGGGGGTTTTTCTGTGGGTGTTGTTGGGATGCTGTGGGTGGGGGGAACAATCCAGATCAGGATTCTTGGGGGTATTGCAGGAGACTTTAACACTTCAACCCCTGCTATTTCCCGCTCCAGAACAAATTTGTGTGTTCTAGCACTAGAGATGGGGGAAGAAATATGATTCAGTTTGCATTGAAAGGCAACACTACCAATTCACACTTCCCAAAACAATATACAAATTGAAGAACAACTATCCTCCAAATTTTGCATTGCAGTTTTCTGAGAAAGTGGTGTGTACAGTAATGCATCTACAGAGGTAAAGTTGTGTTTGAAGAAAATATGCTTTGCTAAAATTTGTTATTAGGCAAAATGGCATACAGAAATGTGCGTGTTAGAGGAAATTCACTCTAAAATGCTAATGAATTTCCAGCAGGACTTAAAAAATACATTGCAAACTGATGTGGAAATGTGAAGAACTGGATTTAAGATTGGAATAACAGAGAGAAACTGAAATTGACAAGAGTCCCCTATGCATTACCTCTGCCACTGGCCAGTTAGGGAGACTTAAGCAATGGCCTTTTGCTCTCATGTGAACATGCCTATGCAAAGAATCACAAGGGTAATGCAAATCTATTTGGGCACAATCTACGTGCATGTTCTCCTGCACAAGACACACTGAAATGGGTGAGAGCTGCTCACATGGAGTAGATCAGGTCTCTATGTCACAATACCCAGAAAGCAACACCTTCATAAAGGAACCATCTCCTATCTGAGCCAGAGAAGTTGCTTCTTTCATCCCATTTGTTAGAAAGTGGGGAGTGTGTGTCCACACAGGGGCTCCGCTGGTGCATACAAGTACATTTTGAGAGTAAAATAACCAGCCCCATTTCCATAGCTGTCAACCTTCCCTTTTTTGCGGGAAATTCCCTTATTCCAGCGCCGCTTCCCGCTGCTATCCCGGATTATTAGATATCCCGTAGACTGTTCCTGGGACAGGTGAGGCTGCTGATCCCTTGTTTTCAAATCTGAAAGTTGACAGCTATGCATTTCTTCTTTTAAACTCACTGATGGAGAGATTTCACTCTTCTTGTACCTCAAAAATTATACTGGTGCTTTGCATAGAGAAACTCATTTCTCTTGTAATAAGGACCAAATCCTCCCCTTTTCCTCAACAGATGAAAGGGAATGAATATTTTAGAACTCAGTCATTTTTATAAAGAATAAGTGACTGGAGATGTCCTGCTGTTATGAAACTACTACAACAAAAGGCTTCTCTGGTTCTGGTGCTTCCACAGACCAGCTAATAACATCAAACAATGTTCATTATACACAAACGTTGCTTAAACGGTAGGTGGAATGGACAGTTTATGCAGGTGATCCCTTTGGGAAGGGTTGGGGCCATGTCTCCTCCTTCCTGGGAAGCCCTCCAATTTCTGGGCAACTCACTGGTCCTGCCTGCTGCAGCCTCGATTTCATTTGCCAGGTGTGCATGTCAAAATCATGACAACTGAAGGTGGCGGAATTACCTGATTAGCCTGAGCTGATAAGTTTGCTATAGCCATTCAATGCAAACAAATGCAAAGTGTGGGGAGGAGCCACAGCTTAGTAGCCAAACATCTGCCTTGCAAGCAGAAGATCCCAGGTTCAATCCCTGGCATCTTCAGGACTGGGAGAAAGTTCTGCCTGAAACCCTAGAGAGCTGCTGCCAATCAGTGTAGACAATATTGAGCTATATGGAATCTGTATAGGGCAGCTTCCTATGTAAGCCACAATCAATGCTCTCATATATATCACTCAATGTAATCTTGAATTTATTCATTGCTATATTTGTATCCCAGACCTTTAAACCTCACTGAGAATCTTCCTTCTCCCAGCACTGAAATGGCACCTCCAAAGACCAAGTCGCCAGCTCAGACAGTGAGTCTGAAGAACGGCTGCTCGATTTCACCCAGGGGGTTGGAACAGATGACCTATTGGGTCCCTTCCAATTCTACAATTCTATGATTCCAGGCAGTGCAATTTTTCTAGAAAAGGAGGTGCTGGAAGCAATGGTGCCCACCTGAGAGGTGCCAGAACTGAGTTCTGGTGAGTTCCAGCTGGGGGGGAAGCCCTGATTCTAGGTGTGTAGTCAGAATCTGGCGGACTGAGGCCACGCAATGCAAACCAAGGTCCAAATTCTCTCCAGGAAAGGCAGTTGCTGTGAAACAGAGCAGATCTGGTGAGGAAAATAATATTTAGGAGCAGAAGCGGACCACCATATAAGCTCTACACTTTACAAGTTTCCACATGATGTGTGAGGAAGGGGTGGTGACGGCACTGTGTTTGCAGAATGTTGTCAGTGGAGATGTGGGCAGCGTATCATTGCTGAGAGGGGCTCATGGGCTCATGAATGCTATGGAAAGATGCTTGGGGGCTCATATTTTCTCAGAGAGATTCAGTTGGGAGTCATGCCAGCTACCCTGGAAGGAAACTGCTCTTTTGATTCCAAAGGCCAAAACAACTCTGTAAAGAATCCTGTTGCTCTCTAACGACTGCTGCTTTTGCTGCGCCAACAGCTTTCATTGCGTGACACACTCCCTTCAGTTTACAGAGGCATGGGCAGAGGAAAGAAAAGCAAGGCTTGCCAAGCACATGGGGAACCACTGCTAAGTGGGGAGGTCATGGCATTCTGCGGTTGCTGCCAGAGGAACTTTCTCTTTTGTTCCCCTCTTCCCCAAGTCTTTAAAGGGGCTATAGGGAGAAAAGGGTGTTGAGTACATGGAGGGAGGCTGGTTAAACAGTGGGGCTGAGCAGAGGCAGGGCTTCAAGGAGACCACAGGAAGGCTAGAAAATAAATGCTGAAGCCTTGCAGAGGACAGAGTGAGGCCAGAAAGGGTGGCTCATTACTCTGGCCAGGTCTCACGAGTTATTCAGCTTTCCCCAGCTGGGAATGCTCCAAATGTTTTGGACTACAGTTCCCAGTCAGAACAAGTGTGCTGGCTGGAGCTGATGGGAGTTGTGGTCTAAAATATCTGGAGGGCACCCAGTTGGAGAAGGTGGAGTGAGAGCCCCTCACAGCCAACTGGGATAGTTCAGCTGGTAGAGCATGAGACTCTTAAGCTCAGGGCTGTGGCTTCAAACCCCACACTGGGCAAAAGATTCCTGCATTGCAGGGGGTTGGACTAGAGGACCTTCGTGATCCCTTCCAACTCTACAAATTTATGATTTTGTGAACTGGAGGCTATTGTATCTGGAAAGCAAGAACCGCCTGAAAGCCCAGTTTGCCAGCACATTGGGAAGCAGGCCCAGCCCATCTATCCTACAGCATTACCTTTACAGTGGTGCCTCGCAAGACGAAATTAATTCGTTCCGCAAGTTTTGTCGCCTTGCGATTTTTCCGTCTTGCGAAGCACGGTTTCCCATAGGAATGCATTGAAAATCAATTAATGCGTTCCTATGGAAACCGACTTCAGACCAGGTCCGGGGACAGTCTGTCCCCCGACCTCTTCTGAAGGCTGGGGGGGGACCAAGGGCTTTTCTTCCCACCCCCAGCATTTTAAAAAACCCCGGGACAGCGGGGGACTTCTCCGCTGTCTGGGGTGATCTTAAAATGCTGGCGGGCGGGAGCGAAGCCTCCGCTGCCGCCCGCCAGCATTTTAAAAAGCCCCGGGACAGCGGGGGACTTCTCCGCTGTCCCGGGGCGATTTAAAAGCCCCCAGGAAGGCAGGCGGGGGGACAAAGACTTTTGCCCCCCGCCAGCCTTCAGAAGAGGTCCAGGACCTCTTCTGAAGGCGGGCGGGGTGCGAAAGTCTTTGCTCCCCCCTGCCTGCCTTCAAAAGCCGTCCGGGACAGCGGAGAAACACGCTGCGTTTCTCCGTTCTCCCGGGAAGGCAGGCAGGGGGGAGCAAACACTTTTGCCCCCCGCCGGCCTTCAGAAGAGGTCCTGGACCTCTTCTGAAGGCCAGCGGGGGGCGAAAGTCTTTGCTCCCCCCGCCTGCCTTCAAAAGCCATCCAGGATAGCGGAGAAACGAAGGCTGGCGGCGGGAGGAGGTCTCTCCGCCCGCCGCCAGCCTTCGGAGGAGGTCCGAGGACAGTGGGGAAGACGCGCTGCGCTTCCCCTCTGTCCCGGAGATTTCCCTATGGGCTTTCGTCTTGCGAAGGAAGCCCATAGGGAAATTCGTTTTGCGAAGCACCTCCAAAATGGAAAACCCTTTCGTCTAGCGGGTTTTCCGTCTTGCGAGGCGTTCGTCTTGCGGGGCACCACTGTATTCTTGTGAAGGGAATGCCCTGGATGCATTCGGGGTTTGTCTTGGGTTCATTCCTGATGAAATGTGCCCCCATTTATTTGAGCATAGCAAGCTCTGAGTAATCAAAGATTATCAAGTCCCAATTCTTATTTTTTAAAATAATATTTAGAAGAGAACAGACTCCCACTCTCACTCTGTAATTACACAATATTCACTTAGTAATTATTCATTTATAACTGTGCATCTGATCACAAGAGCACTTATTCCATGTAAGCAGCAAGGCATAAGCAAATGCTGAATTATTATGAAGCAAGCCTGTCATCATCACCATCCTTATGCAGCTGATCTGTGGGCATTCACTCCCTGAGGAGGAAAAGTGGTTTTCCTAGGGTGTAAAAGTAGCAGTTTTGTGATGGGTCGTATCTTTTCCCGCCCCTGCCCCGGGTTTACAATGGAAGATTGGGAGACAATGGATATATTATGAGGGGTGCAGCTAGGCAGCTTTTGAAAGAACGGCATTTTGGCTCCTTCTTCCACCCCACCAAAGTTACTAGGAGAGCCTATTAATTGTCTTCTTTCAGCCTAGCCATGGTTACTGATTGCAGGGGCTGGACTAAAGGACCCTTACGGGCCCCTCCAACCTTTATGATTCTACATGGGGGTCAACTTGTAGCCTCTTCCCAGAGAGGGGCTGCACCTCCCAGGCCTTCATTCCCCTCTAGATTTCAACCAGCAATCAACAACTCCTGAACTTGGTGCAGAGGTGGAAGAGTCAAGAAGGTGAGGCCAACTCTGCTGAGCTGCAAGACCTGCGCGGGGAGGAGGGAGTCTTTGAGGTGAGCTGCTCACAGGTTACTAAGGTCAGAAGCTAGCCCTGATTTGTCCCCCGTCAGCAGCCAGTGCATCCAGTTTAGGGATGGTGTATGTAAGCTACTCTCATCTGCCCACCACACCCAGGATTCCTAGGATGCTTCGGTTCTGGGGCCAATACCACATTTCACAGCTGGAAAGTGTGACCGCAAAATATACATAGCAGAATTTGGTCCCGCGGCCATCTCAGGAGAGTTACACGTAGCGAGGCTGAGTGTGTGGATATAGCACCGGTTTCGTGGAAGAGCAAGGGAAAGGAGCAAAGGCAGCAATAGGCGCCTCCCAATCGGTAAAGCCACAATTCCCACGCTGGGACTCCACAGTAACTCCTTGGGATTTTGCCCACTGCCACACACTGACATTAACAGCAGCCCTGATCACGGCTGGCCCATGTCCGTGTCGATTGGCAGGGCAGGGGTCCACCAAGCCCAGCCCCAGTGCAATCCCCGACTCCCCTCCACACACTGCAGATCTCCAAGCTGCCTCTCTCCCCACCAAAAAGGGATTGGGGCCAGGCCTGGCCCAGATTAGCCAGAAGCAGAGGTCACAATAACGCTCTGTGTTATCAGTCGGGCTGCAAAAACTTCAGTGTCTGTGTCTGACAATCGTTGCTTCAAAGTGCTATTTAATGTTGCCCTCTGTAAATAAAGCCCCCCGTGTTTGGCCTTTGACTGATATTGTGAAGTCTGCCTTTGAGGTTCTGATGTAAATAATCTTTCTCTGGCAACTTAAGACTCTTCTCTTTATGTGTTATGACACAAAAGCCTCTACTTTTCTTTCTTTCTTTTCTGTACTTGCCACAACCATGGGGCAGCTCAGACTGGCAATTTGGTTTGTTTTTCCTTTGGAATTTTATATCTTCCTTTTTGTATTGTACTTTGGTTTTTAAACCTTTGAATACTTGCTGTCTTCAAAAGAGTTTGACGAGTCAGCAGCTGACTCCTTCCCAACGGTGCCGCCTTCTGCTACTGCTGCATGTTCCTCCGTACAGATGATGGTAGATGCTCTTCTTCTTGACCTAATGGATAGTGCGGTATAAAAGCGACTGAGCTGAGTCAGGCGAGAGGCCTGGGCTGTCATTGGGTTGCCAAGCAAGATACGACTGCTAAATATCTGCATCTGAAACTCCTTAAACAGCTTTTGTCTCCTTTGATTGCTCTTAAAAAATACACAAAAAAGCAAAAAACAGCAAATGCAAATAAACTTTCACCTGAACACTGAAAGCATTTTTGGAAATCTGTTTTTACTATGAACCAGCACATGTTATTGTTGTAAACAAAAATTGCACTTTTTCCCTTATGGGGTATCCAAGAGCCCATATAGAGTCCCTACATAGGTTCCCTATTGGTAGGAGAAAATAACAGAGGCCAACCAAAGAATATTGAGAAGCAAAGCAGCTAGTAAGCTTGATCTTTATTGATCTGCTGTAACAGGGTGCTCCCCTCACTCACAGGAAAGAAGGAGGAACCCAGAACAATGGCACACAAGGCCTTATAAAGACTTTTGAAATTGCCACCCTGTAGATCAAGACACGGGTGGCGCTGTGGGTTAAACCACAGAGCCTAGGACTTGCTGATCAGAAGGTCGGTGGTTCGAATCCCCGCGACGGGGTGAGCTCCCATTGCTCGGTCCCTGCTCCTGCCCACCTAGCAGTTCGAAAGCACGTCAAAGTGCAAGTAGATAAATAGGTACCACTC